ACACACACTGAACACTTTTTTTAACACTTAGCAGAACATCACGCGTTGCCATCTAGAACGAACGAACCATCACTCTCAGAAGTCACGATGCGACTGAAGTTGAAATGTACAAAGAGTATAGAAAACAAGCTCAACGTAACGTAACGCAGTAAGACACAAAGAGAGTGAAAAAGAATACAAATAAACAAACACACATATAAATAACCGCTATAATAAGAACTTTTAAAATATAACAGTTAGAATATGCAAGCAGAAATCTAATATTCAAATATAAATTAAGCAAAAATAATATTAAACAAAATTATTATTTATTTTATTATATTTACTATTTAATTCATAAATTGTAGCCTTTTATACCAGTTGACCTACACCAATGTTTTGTTTTTAGGGGGTTAATTAAATTATTTACGTCATTACTATTACGTTTGCAACGTAAGCATTTGTTTACGAATAGTTTTAAAAGGAAAGCAAGATAATATATTGCCAGCTGTATTTAATAAATAAATCAAAAGGGAAAATATAGCAGAAGGGGAAATGTAGTGTCCAGTCTATAATCTAGTCCATATCTAGACCATAGACTAGACTATGGACTAAACTATAGAATAGACTATAGACTAGTCTATAGAGTAACCTTCTCTATAATCTAGTCTACATATGTATGTATATAGTGTATAGTCTAGTCTGTTAACTAGTCTATATAGTCTAGGCAAGACTATAGCCTGTAAAATAGTCTATAGTCTAGTCGATAGTCTAGTCTATAGTCTAGTCTATAGTCTAGTCTATAGTCTAGACTATAGTCTAGTCTATAGCCTAGACTATAGTCTAGTCTATAGTCTATAGCCTAGTCTATAGTCTAGTCTATAGTCTAGTCTATAGTCTAGTCTATAGTCTAGTCTATAGTCTAGTCTATATTCTAGTCTATAGTCTAGTCTATAGTCTAGTCTATAGTCTACTCTATAGTCTAGTCTATAGTCTAGTCTATAGTCTAGTCTATAGTCTAGTCTATAGTCTAGTCTATAGTCTACTCTATAGTCTAGTCTATAGTCTAGTCTATAGACTATAGTCTAGTCTATAGTCTAGTCTATAGTCTAGTCTATAGTCTAGTCTATAGACTATAGTCTAGTCTATAGACTATAGTCTAGTCTATAGACTATAGTCTAGTCTATAGTCTAGTCTATAGTCTAGTCTATAGTCTAGTCTATAGTCTAGTCTATAGTCTAGTCTATAGTCTAGTCTATAGTCTAGTCTATAGTCTAGTCTATAGTCTAGTCTATAGTCTAGTCTATAGTCTAGTCTATAGTCTAGTCTATAGTCTAGTCTATAGTCTAGTCTAGTCTATAGTCTAGTCTATAGTCTAGTCTATAGTCTAGTCTATAGTCTAGTCTATAGTCTAGTCTATAGTCTAGTCTATAGTCTAGTCTATAGTCTAGTCTATAGTCTAGTCTATAGTCTAGTCTATAGTCTATAGTCTAGTCTATAGTCTAGTCTATAGTCTAGTCTATAGTCTAGTCTATAGTCTAGTCTATAGTCTAGTCTATAGTCTAGTCTATAGTCTAGTCTATAGTCTAGTCTATAGTCTAGTCTATAGTCTAGTCTATAGTCTAGTCTATAGTCTAGTCTATAGTCTAGTCTATAGTCTAGTCTATAGTCTAGTCTATAGTCTAGTCTATAGTCTAGTCTATAGTCTAGTCTATAGTCTAGTCTATAGTCTAGTCCATAGTCTAGTCTATAGTCTAGTCCATAGTCTAGTCTATAGTCTAGTCTATAGTCTAGTCAATAGTCTAGTCTATAGTCTAGTCTATAGTCTAGTCTATAGTCTAGTCTATAGTCTAGTCTATAGTCTAGTCTAGTCTATAGTCTAGTCTAGTCTATAGTCTAGTCTATAGTCTAGTCTATAGTCTAGCCTATAGTCTAGTCTATAGTCTAGTCTATAGTCTACTCTATAGTCTAGTCTATAGTCTAGTCTATAGTCTAGTCTATAGTCTAGTCTAGTCTAGTCTATAGTCTAGTCTATAGTCTAGTCTAGTCTAGTCTATAGTCTAGTCTACGTCTAGTCTATAGTCTAGTCTATAGTCTAGTCTATAGTCTAGTCTATAGTCTAGTCTATAGTCTAGTCTATAGTCTAGTCTATAGTCTAGTCTATAGTCTAGTCTATAGTCTAGCTTTATCTAGTCTATAGCTAGTCTATAGTCGATCTAGTCTAAGTCTTATAGTCTAGTCTTAATAGTCTAGTCTATAGTCTAGTCTATAAGTCTAAGTCTTATAGTCTAGTCTATAGTTCTAGTCTATAGTCTAGTCTATAGGTCGAGTCTTATTCTAGTCTATAGTCTAGTCTAAGTCTAGTCTAGTCTATAGTCTAGTCCTATAGGCCTAGTCTATAGTCTAAGTCTAGAGTCTAGTCTATAGTCCTAGTCTATCTAGTCTATAGTCTAGGTCTATAGTCTAGTCTTAGTCTTAGGTCTATAGTCTAGTCCGATAGTCTAAGTCTATAGTCCTAGTCATAGTCTAGTCTATAGTCTAAGTCTATAGTCTAGTCTATAGTCTAGTCTATAGTCTAGTCCTATAGTCTAGTCTATAGTCTAGTCTAGAGTTCTAGTCCTATAGTCAGTCTAGTCTATATTAGTGCTATAGTCTAGTCTATGAGTCCTAGTCTTAAGTCTAGTCTATAGTCTAGTCTATATAGTCTAGTCTATAGTCTAGTCTATAGTCTAGTCTAGTCTATAGTCTAGTCTAGTCTATAGTCTAGTCTATAGTCTAGTCTATAGTCTAGTCTAGTCTATAGTCTAGTCTATAGTCTAGTCTATAGTCTAGTCTAGTCTAGTCTATAGTCTAGTCTATAGTCTAGTCTATAGTCTATAGTCTAGTCTATAGTCTAGTCTATAGTCTAGTCTATAGTCTAGTCTTAAGTCTAGTCTATAGTCTAGTCTATAGTCTAGTCTATAGTCTAGTCTATAGTCTAGTCTTTAGTCTAGTCTATCGTCTAGTCGATAGTCTAGTCTATAGTCTAGTCTATAGTCTAGTCTATAGTCTAGTCTATAGTCTAGTCTATAGTCTAGTCTATAGTCTAGTCTATAGTCTAGTCTATAGTCTAGTCTATAGTCTAGTCTAGTCTATAGTCTAGTCTAGTCTATAGTCTAGTCTATAGTCTAGTCTATAGTCTAGTCTATAGTCTAGTCTATAGTCTAGTCTATAGTCTAGTCTATAGTCTAGTCTATAGTCTAGTCTATAGTCTAGTCTATAGTCTAGTCTATAGTCTAGTCTATAGTCTAGTCTATAGTCTAGTCTATAGTCTAGTCTATAGTCTAGTCTATAGTCTAGTCTATAGTCTAGTCTATAGTCTAGTCTATAGTCTAGTCTATAGTCTAGTCTATAGTCTAGTCTATAGTCTAGTCTATAGTCTAGTCTATAGTCTAGTCTATAGTCTAGTCTATAGTATAGTCTATAGTCTAGTCTATAGTCTAGTCTATAGTCTAGTCTATAGTCTAGTCTATAGTCTAGTCTATAGTCTAGTCTATAGTCTAGTCTATAGTCTAGTCTATAGTCTAGTCTATAGTCTAGTCTATAGTCTAGTCTATAGTCTAGTCTATAGTCTAGTCTATAGTCTAGTCTATAGTCTAGTCTATAGTCTAGTCTATAGTCTAGTCTATAGTCTGGTCTATAGTCTAGTCTATAGTCTAGTCTATAGTCTAGTCTATAGTCTAGTCTATAGTAGTCTATAGTATAGTCTATAGTCTAGTCTATATTCTAGTCTATAGTCTAATCTATATTCTAGTCTATAGTCTAGTCTATATTCTAGTCTATAGGTTAGTCTGTAGTATATTCTGTAGTCATGATTATAGTACAGTCTGGTCTATAGTCTGGTTTATATTTTTAAATTAAAAATTCTAATTGGCAAAGCATTTTAGTAAATTTCCCGGAAATTAAGAATATCTATTTCCTTTTCATAAATTCCTTAAAAAATGTCCCGACTTTTATTTAATTCGTATAACAAATAATATGGTAAGTTTATAATCTGTCGTAAATCCAATATGGCAAGGCTGTATAAAAAGACTTTTGTTTGGCAATACTGTAAACAAATTTTGCAATGTTTACATATCAGGGTGCACTTATAAGGTGAAGTCAATTCTACAAAAACAACAAAAGTAGATACCTCTGTCAAAAAATTTACATGTTGCCACCGTGTTTTTTTTTTTTAATTTAACTTACAAAAAGACAATCCACATGCCCAAAAATCTCTTCACGTAAAGTAAATATGTATTATAAGATAAAATTTATTAAAAATTATACATGAATTGAAAAATTATTCACAAACAAAATTTTTATTTTATAAACAGTATTTTGTATGGAAATTTTGTTTTATAAACCTTTTATAAAATCAAAATGTTGTTTGTGAATAAGGGGGTTAGAATATTATTTATTATTTACTTATTAAAAAAGTAAATAAATTATCAATGAAAATAACAAAAAATTAGTATTAGATTACAAAATTGTAAGTAGTAGCAAAAGACAAATTATATACATACCTATAATTTATTATCCTAATATTGACTGGGAACTTATAATACCGTGTAGGTCTCTACTATTGTCGTATAAGAAATATATAATGATCTTTATAGAAATGTGACCAAACCACTACCATGGAAAGTTGTTAAAAATTAAGATATCTATGATAAAATCGAGTTTTAATAATTTTATTTACAATTGCGGGATGTTTGTACTCTCAATTGATTAGTAAAAAGTTCCCTATAATTGATAAAATAGATGCATATTTAAGACAAATAGTTTGTGCATTTTGTGAGTATTTCGCATAAATTTACTACGGATTAAAATGAATATAAAATTTATTTATTAATTTTTTGTCCTAAAAAAATAATGAATCCCTAGATAGATGTACATATTTTTTTCGGATTGTGGCAACTGTAAATGGTGTACTTTGACAGTTGTATCTACCTCTAATACAAAAAATGAGTGATCAGCTGTTGAATTGACTTCACCTTATAAGTGCACCCTGGTTTACATTTTTGCGGTGTTGTTATAGATATAAACAAACAAACAAATAACAAATTCTATCAGAAATGGAAGAACCGGGAGTTATTAAAAAATTAGACGAAGTTGTAGTGAATCGTATAGCAGCTGGCGAAATTATACAAAGACCAGCCAATGCTTTAAAAGAGTTACTGGAAAATAGTCTGGATGCTAAATCAAGTTTCATACAAGTGACCGTAAAATCGGGTGGTCTAAAACTCTTGCAGATACAAGATAATGGTACCGGTATACGTAAAGAGGATTTGGCTATAGTATGTGAACGTTTTACCACTTCTAAACTAACAAAATTTGAAGACTTAACAAGTATTGCCACTTTCGGGTTTCGTGGCGAGGCTTTGTCGAGCATAAGTCATGTGGCGCACTTAACAATACAAACAAAAACGGTGAAAGAGAAATGTGGCTATAAGTAGGTTTATTTATGAAGATATTGTAAATGATGTAATTGAAATGTTTATTTCCAGAGCTTCCTACGAAGACGGCAAACTTAAGGCAGCACCCAAACCTTGTGCCGGTAATCAGGGTACTATTATTACCATTGAGGATTTGTTTTACAATATGCCTCAACGTAAACAAGCTTTAAAATCTCCCAATGAGGAGTTTCAGAAAATATCCGATGTCATGTCTAAATATGCGGTGCATAATTCTAAAGTGGGTTTCATGCTGAAGAAGTTTGGCGAACAACCTGCCTTGAAAACGGCTCCCAATAGCACGCAGGAGTTGAATATACAGACAATATTTGGCGCTAATATTGCCAAGGAGCTAATGGCTGTGGAGCTGAAAGATGCCGTTCATAAGTTCAGCATGAAGGGTTTTATAACTAAAGTCAATTTTAATGCTAAAAAGGGAATAATGCTGTTGTTTATCAATCATCGTTTAGTGGAATCGGCAGGTAATAGTCAACTAAGTTCAAGTCTATTGTTTGGACTATGAAATAGACTATAGTCCTATAATCTTCTCCTATAATCATTCGTTTCAGCTCTAAAAGCTGCCATTGATACAGTATACAGCACTTATTTACCCAAAGGCATGCACCCATTCGTCTACATGAGCCTCGAACTAGAACCCTCAAATGTCGATGTCAATGTTCATCCCACTAAACATGAAGTACATTTCCTATACGAAGATGAAATTATCGACAAAATCAAAGCACAAGTAGAAACACAACTGCTGGGCAGTAATTCCACGAGAACATTTTACAAACAACTTAAACTACCAGGAGTAACTGAAACACCAGAAGCGGACCAATCGTTTAAGACAGCTTTAGGAGAAAAAGTCTATGCTAAAGATATGATTAGAACCGATAATAAAGAACAAAAACTAGACAAGTTCTTGTTTACGACAGCAGTATCAAAAAGTGATTCTGCCTGTTCCTCCATGAGTTTGAGTGGTTCCAGTGGTAATAGTTTTTTGGGTGAAGAAAGTTTTCGTGATGTGGCTGCTCGGAAATCCAAGGAAGTACGTTTAAGTAGTGTTTTAGCAATGCAAAAGAAAATTGAAAATGGCTGTTCGGTACATTTGAGAAAAATTCTAAAGGAAATGGTGTTTGTGGGGGTAGTGGATAAACACTTTGCCCTGTTTCAGCATGAAACTAAACTTTATATGGCGAATACATTGAAATTAAGGTAAGTGTTGTTTGAAGTTGATTAATTAAAGCCAATTAAACCTTAATGTTTCTTTAAAAGTGAAGAGTTATTTTATCAACGTTTGGTGTATGAGTTTCAAAATCTGTCTCAAATCAAAATTATACCAGATAAATTACCCATTAAAGATTTGATATTGATTGCTTTAAACTCCTCTGAAAGTGGCTGGACTGAGGAAGATGGTGATAAAGAAGAATTGGCTAAAAATGCTGCTGAGATACTTTTAGAAAAGGCACCCATTATGCGTGAATATTTTTCACTTACTGTTTCGGCAGAAGGAGAATTAGAAACTTTACCCTCCTTATTAAAGCAGCATAGTCCCAGTAAGACATATTTGCCTTTATTTATGTTACGCTTAGCCACCGAAGTTGAATGGGATACGGAAGAGGAATGTTTTGAGACATTTTGTCGAGAAACAGCCAATTATTATTCGATTGTAGCGGAGGTGGAATTGCAGGCAGAACCTAAACGTCACAAGTGGCAGGTGGAGCATGTTTTGTATCCAGCTTTTAAAAAATATTTATTACCGAATAATCAAATGAAAAAACATTTCTATGAATTAACAAATTTACCCACTTTATACAAAGTTTTTGAGAGATGTTAAGTAGTTTTTAAGTTAAGTGCATGTTTTTGTAATTAAGGCGATTATTAAAATATATTATTGCTTTTGGAATACAAAAATCGAGAGCTTTTCCTTTTAAATGCAGTCTCTGAATAAAGACTGCAGATATTTTAAGATTTTGTCTTGAAATTGTTACAAATCTTACCTGTAAGTTAAACAACAAATTTTATAACTATTAATTTAAATAATTTATTAACATGAAAAAACACAGTATACTACCTTTTATTATATAATATCGACGATACTTGAGTGCTGAAAACATTTTTACAAATTGGGTTGCCTTAAACGTTTTTCACGCTGAGCATTGGCCACATGTTCTTTAAGCATTTTCATGATTTCATTGTCATATTCTGGTGGTGTGGGCTTAGTTTCTGTGGCCCAATAGTATATCTCCCAATCATTGGTAACACCATTGATTAGTTTATCATATTGATCGGTCAATTTGGCATCCATACCCTTTAGGAATTTAGCAATAAAGGTACTCAAGAGTAAATCATTTTCCAACATACCACGTTTGCGGGATTGATAGACCAATCTAAAAGGAATGTTAAAGGATTAATGAATTATAGGAAATTTTGCTTGTAGATATTGTTAAGGTTGGTTTGAAATAGATTTCTTAAGGACCTGATCAAACCAAACGTAATATTCCTTTAAAATCAATACTTCTAAACGAAACTATAGAAAATTTATGTTTAATTTCAATAAATACCTTTGCTTCTTAACTTCCAAAGGTTCATTTTGCTTGAAAGGATACTCCGGCAGGGGCAAGTAATCAGGATCCTCATAATCGATAATGGGAACATCAGCATTATTTATCACCTCCTTTTGTTTGCCATCATCTCCACCAGCAGCAGCCGAAAAGCGTTGGGTACGGCTCAATACTGGGGTGAGGGATTTTTGATAAACATTTGTCTAAAAACGCAAAAATGTTATGCAATGAGTTTTTTCACTAAAAATTTCTTCAATTTTAAATAATGTTTTAAGAAAACTTACTAGAATTTGACGCAACATTTTGCTGGATATATATTTTTTAAGTTTTGTAAACTATTTGCGTTATTTTTTTATTAATTATTAATTTTCCAAAGCCTTCTGCCGGATTGCACGCTGCGCTAATGTTTACGGAAAATTTTCAAATCAAAACAATAATAAAAACACCTGAACAGAATGGTGGTGCAGTGCAGAGACCTGCGCCGATAAAAATTAATGACGGCGGCAGCAAAAATCTTCTGTAAGCCGGCTAAATTAACGATATTAAATAAAACAAAAACTAAATTTCATTAAAATATCTATAAAAATAGGAAATTACGTAATTTTTTTAAATAAAAATAGAGAATTTCGAAAATTTAAGATAAAAGTACAGAATTTGGGAAATTTTCGATAAAAATACAGAATTTTGAAAATTTTCTATAAAAATAGAGAATTTCGAAAATGTTCTATAAAAATAGAGAATTTCGAAAATGCTCTATAAAAATAGAGAATTTCCAAAATTTTCTATAAAAAATAGAGAATTTCGAAAATTTTCTATCAAAAATAGAGAATTTCGAAAATTTTCTATCAAAAATAGAGAATTTCGAAAATTTTCTATCAAAAATAGAGAATTTCGAACATGTTCTATAAAAATAGAGAATTTCAAAAATTCTCGATAAAAATAGAGAATTTCAAAAATTCTCGATAAAAATAGAGAATTTCGAAAATTCTCGATAAAAATAGAGAATTTCGAAAATTCTCGATAAAAATAGAGAATTTCGAAAATTCTCGATAAAATAGA